CATTAATTAATATAAATACGCGAAATAAGTTTCAGATTATAAGGGTTTCAAATACTTTTCTTAAAATAGTCTATTGGTTATTTACTATAGTGCTAAAAAATGGGTAAAGACGAGAGAGTTACACGAAGAAGGAAGTTCTTCAATAATACAACAAATTGGAGCGTGTCGCGGCGCCATTTCTTGACTCTGTTAAGAACATGACCTCAGAACTCTGCCTGTTGACCTAAACAAATCATTACAAATTCCAGATCTCATGTTTCCTGGATGCTTGATAAGCTTTGAAAAATAGTTTCCTTGTCCTGAATGTAATGTTTTATAGATATAATTTATATAGTTACAGCACTTCTAGGTAACGTTTTGTCTGCGCTCCCTAATTCGTAGTTCTAATACAATGTTTGTGAGGACATTGTTTCTAATACGTAAATTTATTGTTCTATTAATTAGTTTTTATGATATATATTTTAGTGAAAGATAAATGGATAGAAGACAGACTCAATTAAAGGGGCTGCACCCAACGACACTGCAATTAAGTGCTGCTCCGGTGAATTTCTGCCAAGGTCGTCCCATTCAGAACCAGGAAGAGTGCGCACGATGACCCAAAGAAATATGGTCTAAAAAACGAAATTCCAGAAATGGTTCAGGAGACAGGAAGAACACTCAAGTGGTAAATGAATTTCAGGTATTTCTATTCTTTCATATCCAACCACAGAGGAAAAGTCTAGCAGGGTATAATTTTGCTCCTAGGCTGTCATTTACTTTTAATTATAAACCTTGTTCAATAATAAACACTATATTCAATCTTAAGCTCACTTATCTCTATTTTATTTTGTATGATTAGTGCTTTAAAATTTTTTATCGTTAATTGAATTCATTATTACAGCGAAACCACACTCAACAAAACGATTTTTTAACGAAGGGACTTGTACCCTGAGTTATAGGATCAGAAATTTACGCATATTTTTACAGGACAAGCATAGACAGCAATCACTCGATTAAGACGCTCATACTACGAGCTTTCGCTAGAGATTAAAACTGAGCAGCCTTTCACCATAACGTATTCCTATCACTTATTTTTGGCTGCTTGATGTCAAGGAAATATGTTCGAATGAAAATCCCTAAATGTTACACAAAATGCAAATTTCGTTACAGTCACGACCACACATTACACTCAGAAAAAGACGTGTGTCAAACAGGGTTAAGATGACCCCAACAAGAGAGTGTGTGCGTACCACTTGTCAATACGACAAGTGTTTGGTTTCCTTCATTGAAATCCAAAAGTGAAAAAAACTTCTATTATAATAATACCCAAAATTATTTTAGATTTTCTCCCAGTGTTTTGTTTCTTTAAACGAAATTCAATACCAAATTAAAGCTTATGTGTTTCTATTATGATAGTCCAGCTTTTAAAAGTTGTTGCAAGAGAAAAGTTAAAGTGTTTTTAGTTTCAAGTCTGTCAAATGAAAGCTAGCGAAACTTTTATAATTGATGCATTCAGCAAGAATTCTGGAGCATAATTTTCATTTATAGGATTTTTCGTGCTGGCTTATTTAGTGTTAAATTTTGTATTTTTGTTGAGAAATTAAAGTGCCAACTTATTGTAATTAACTTATACTAACATGCATACAGTGCTCCAGAGGAAGGGTATTGTCCATTCTCTTTTTACTAAAGTGATACGAGATAAATAATCAGAATTGTGTGGATGTGTATGGTCAGCTAGTTAACAATATAAGGATAGTTTCATTCGTTTTAAAACAATAATAATACTGCTTGTAATTGAACCCATTACCTGTAATTAATTTGCGGAGGCCTCTGTGAGGACAACATATACGATCGAAAAAAGCGAGTTTCAGAGGAAGATAATTCCTCTACAAAATATTCATTTTCATAAAAGCCTCTGCACGTTGACCTGTAAAACAGGAATTACTACGCAATTCCTGGAAGTGCGCCTCATTGATCGCAATCCCATAACACTGATGCCAATGCTTCGGGTTGTATAATTTTGCTACATTAGAAGAGCCATACGACCATCATTGTAGGCCAGTACCAACGCGTTTGCAGCGCAGTCATACATAAGCACATGAAGCAATTGGTAAAGTTTTCGCGTAACTGTTATGCTTGGCCATGATCATACAACGGGTTATGTTCACGATTCAGTGGCTAAAACTCACCGAATATGACATTACAATGACTTCGCTAGAGACGTAATGTCTTAATAAAACAATTTATATTTCTTTGGAAAGAATAGCATGCTTAGAAATCTGGTACTCACTTAATACAGTTGAACTTTTGCGTCGGTGACTGTTGTAAAATAGACACAGCGAAATCCAACGTACCCCAAGACTTTTCTATCTTTATCGTAAATAACTGGGTTATTTCTCAACCACCTTCATCCAGTACGCCATCCAAAGATATGTCTCTTTTTGCTGACCAAAAATGCAATTAATAATTTTATTTGTCTGTGGTTTGAACCTTCAATTGTTTTTTTGATGATAAAAAAACGAGATATCGTTGATGAAAAATATCCTAGCCTGCTGTGAGTGGCCGAGGTTTCCAGCCTATTACGGAAGGCAGTGATCGTTTTGCTTGGTCGTTAATGATCCCACAGCAATTTCCTTTCTCCGCGAGATGTACCTCTCAAGTAGAAGAAATAACTGCCATTCCAAATCTTCCTTATTCTCAAGAGCTTTCTTATTCCGGCTTGTCTTTGGCTCATGAATTTTATCATTCGATGGTAGAGGAAACACCATAATAAAATCACAGGAATTTTTTAATCGTTGGAAACGATTTGACATCGTGAAGGAAAATGTATATATGACTAAAAGTCATAAATGACATTAATAAATTTTTCAGATTATGACTGATTTTATATGAAAGAACAAATTATACTGATAAATTTACAAATAGCTTAAAATACACCAGGTTATTGTTCTGGTGATTTTGAATATATATCAAGAAAAAACAAAACATGAAAAAATGTATTACCGAAATGTTGCGGGCGGTATTTTTCGCAAGCTCCGAACAATTGGACATTAATAAAACAAGACCACGAGCTCAAACGTGTACCCTAAGGTACCTTAATGAAAGAAATAAAATGTATTGAGAATCTAAGTTTGAGGAAAATATTTGCTGTATGTTTCATTTTAATTGACGTGGAAAATTAAATTCAGATATTAAGAACACAACCGTGAGTCACCCTCTAGCGAGCCGCAATCGAGACAGGCGTTATTCTTACTTCGATTCGGTAATCATTTCGACCTTCTACGCAGACGCTTTAAAGGTCCTCAATATAGTGTGATTTGCCGCAGCTTCCCACCCTTCCCTTCCTAACTTCTGCCCTCTGATCTAATCAGACGTTTGCCAACATTTGCCCATTTACTGACGACCTGAGCGCTCCTCTTCAAGGATCCAAGAGCGCCGCAAAAACTTTACGGCGAATGAATAATTTTTTTTCTTGTACCTTCCCCGAGGACTAATCCATCTCAGGCTGACTCGAACTGCGTCCCAAAAACCTTGAGGACTGAACATAGTGCACTTTTACCGCGAAAAGGTCCCTTTAATTTTGAGAACGAATCGGGCCATTTGATGCCATTGTGATTCTGCAATTTTCAGCGCACCTAAGTTTTTCCCTTCATTTTGAATAAGAATTGAGACTCACTCTTTCTCGTCACTAAGCCAAAAGCTGCCTGGACTTAAGAAATGTATGATGTAGGAATGTAATGTAGGAATGTAATCAAGAAAATATCTAGCAAAAGTCTCCACTCTTTTCGCAGCAGTTATCATTGTAGCGGCAGCAGAATTAGCATGCGAATAGGCAAACTTCAAGCAGTTAAAGACTCTCCAGGCGTTCAGAAGATGAAACGTGAAAAATTATGGGTATGCTATAAATTTTTCTCGCAAGTAAAAATAGCTCAAACAATCCTACGTACAAATGGAAAATTAGGCGTATATGTTAGTTATTTAACTTTCTTCGAATACCTTCTGAAATTGAATTTAGGAAAATTGCCAAGTCAAAATGGAGTAACAATCAATTTTCAGTCAAGGTTTCGGTTTTAGTAGCCAATTTACAATAGAGAAAAATATTACCTGAGGAGGACTAACATGCTGCATGTTATAAGAGAAAGTTAATTATTGCCTGGACACTTCCAGTTCCAGCCAATTGTTCTTTGTTATTCTCTCTGATGCATGCAAGTTCAAGCCCAATGCACTCTTAGGTGTTCAGTGACCGTGAATGTGAATGGTGGCCATGGGCGACCTCTGTTAGAACGAGTTAGCTTTCAGGTCTCTTGTCCTAACTTTGCTAATTACACAGAAAGCCTCGCCATAAACAAACGCCACAACTTTGATGGCTTTTCATGCCTTTCCTAAAATTCTTGAGCAGCTCTTCAACTGGACCACGTAATCATGTTAGGTACACCGCTTTTCATTAAAACAAAATGGAAACCTTTGTGCTAGAAGTGAACAGAAACATAAAAGCCTTACTCAGTGTAATAAAGAAAGAAGTATCTTGAACAGTTATGGAGGTTTCAGCAAAAATGCTTCAAAAGGTCATAAATATTGGACATTTTTACGTATCATATTTTTGTGTGTGAATGCTATAGCCATCCAATAGTATGCGCGAGGAATTTTCCGAAAGTTGTGCTTAATAATAATTGCCAAAATCATTCACAATGTAAAGGGTTTACCATTTCTGTTTTTGCCATGTTTTCATGTTCTGCCTGTTTGTTTGGCCTCATGTTCCATTACATTTTCAGCATAGATTAACGGTAATTCTTGGTTTCAACCGAAGAATCTACGCATTTCGCTCTAACGCGAAATTTATTCTATGCTATAATGGGTAGCATGCAAACTCATTTAATGAAAGGCTTCATTGTTTCGAACAAATTATGTGAAATGTTAACTTGGCCTTCAAGTTACGCTCATTTAAAAATTGATCATTAAAGATAATTGTAAAAATAAAATTTGATTCCAAAAATGCAATTTTTCTTTCTCGATATTTTCAGCGAGTGACGGGAGTTGGAAGTGACTTGAGGGCAGACGCGATCAGATACCCGCATCCTCGAAATCGACATTAACACGACAAAAGGGAAAGCCCGTCGTGGCACACCCCTCCTTACTGCCATGGAGTGTCAACAAGACAACGGGCACGCCAGCATACACGAGTCTCATGTTGCCGTTGCTGAAGTAAGAAGATCTCCAACGCGCCAGAGGTGGCGCAGCACTCGCTGGCTCGTCCTGGTAGCTCTCAGCCTGGTCCTAGCGCACACCGAGGCCGGCGCTAAAGACCGCAACCCGAGCTACGCCCTGCCGGTCTACAGTCAAAAGCCCCGTGTCTGCCCGCCTCCAAAGGAAATATCTCCGTGCGTCTGCTCCGTCATATCTAAAGGTAACACTCCGCATGTAGTGACTAAAGTAACCAATTGCGTTAATTATTGTTTATTTCATAGATAAAAAATGACTAGTTTCAACTCAAGTCAAAATTAAATTTGTTTGCTGGAAGCAAGTGAGGCTAATACGCAGCGAATAGATTCAAACATTCCTCAAACCTACTCTTTGAATCAGTAGATTTTACAGGTCAAAGCCTTCAATAACGATTTTCTTCATCTAAGTTTTGTACAAGTTGAGGTTTTATTTGGTAAAGCACCGCTAAAAATCACTGTAACTTACTTGAGACACAATTACCAGAGCAGTCAATATCAAGTCACTTCAGATTAAAAACTCTTTGCCGTTGAATATTGAAATAATCCTAGGGTGAATTTGAATAAAATTAATTGCAGAAAGTGAATTATTTTGGCTGAGTTAAAAAGCTGTAGATTGTTTTGATGTCAATGGTAATTCAAGAAAATAGTTCGAATAAAATTATTCTCGCTATCGGAATGTAATCAACCCCATACGCCCCCACAGGTCTGGACATAGTATGCGACCACTCTGACGAGAGCCACATACGCAACACCCTGAACGTGCTCAAGCAAAAGAGCGTTGCGGTCTACTGGATGAAGTTCCGCAACTGCAAATTGGCTCGCGTATCCGACTTCATCTTCATGGGTTTGGACGTGATCCATCTAAACATCATCAGGAGTAACGTTAGCGTCATCGAGACCTCCTCACTGTCAGCCCTCGGCAAGTCTCTGGAGAGCCTCGACCTCGCGAGCAACCTTCTATCAGCTGTGAGTTCCTTGATTGTAATTCTTGATCTTAGGAATGGAAAATAAATCCCAAGGTCTAACATTCAATACGTCGACTTACGTGTAAATATAACATTCTTCAAATCGAATGCTAATGTCTTGCAGACGAATAGGTTCAAATAGCTGAACACTTTGAAATCATCTCACTGAATGTACTTTTCGTATCCGTGCCTGACACTGATAGCAGAACATTCAACCGAAATTTTCGAGGAAAATTTAGTTCAATAGGGGAGAATATATCAATCAACGATATTAGCTTCACCTGCATCTTTTAAGCCTAATCAATCAACGGTATTAGCTTCACCTGCATCTTTTAAGCCTAATCAATCAACGGTATTAGCTCCACCTGCATCTTATAAGCCTAATCAATCAACGGTATTAGCTCCACCTACATCTTATAAGCTCAAATATTCAAGTCAAGGTGCACAGTTATTTGTCCTCGGTATATTACCCTAGCCTAAGCTTATCGTAAAAGGAATGGTGCAAACCCACGAGGCCGCCCGTCAGCTCTACCAACACTTCTTGTTTGTTCGGGTCTCGAGAAGCTGAGAGGGTCAACACAGAAGCGTTAACAAATTTTCTACTTGCCTTCCATTGTGGTTTAGCCTGAGTTTAAGCAGCCTTATGGCTTGAAGTCTAATGTATGTATGAGTTCTTGAACTTTCCCGGTAAAATATTTGAGATTACCATTTCTTCTCAAGCTTATGCAAGCTAAAATGTTGGTCAGTGCAGCCTTCCGTTAATAGTGAACAGTCCTTAGATTTTTACTCAAAGACAAACATAAAAGAGGAGTACATTATCTACTTCATTATATACGTGTATTTTATACTTTAACATTTAATTAATCTACGATTATTGATGATCGGAAAGTCATCTACGATCAAATAAGGGGATGAAAGTGACTAGAGATTAGTTAGTTCAATTCTGTGAAATTGGCTGCTTGAGTCGCAACGATTTTTATTGATATTGATGAGATAGTCCATTAATGTGACTCTCTTTTATTCTGGAACATTTTTCAAATCTAATCTCTACGATTCCGTGCAAACAAAAACCTCACTTGGATTATAGATTAAATTGTTTTATCCCTAAGTCATCGCACAATTCAGTGCTTGTAATAAGGAGTTTTTCGTACATGAAGAAATTTTCTTATTGCTTGTCAGGTTCCAACAACGGCGCTGAGAAGCCAGGAGATGTTGACGTTCTTGAACCTGAACTATAACCGCATAACCAGTCTCCCGGAGGCGGCGTTCGCTGGCATGTCGGTGCTGCAGCGTCTGACGCTCTACGAGAACCGCATCAAGGAGATTCACCACAATGCTTTCAAGGGCATTCCACGGTATGCATGAATAAGTAACAAATAACAATCTAAAATTATTTATTTGATGAATATTTAATGAATTCGCTTTTCAATGTCTAACTTATCTTCATGCTGCTAGTTAATGACACTATCAACCTTACACATATGCAGTTAATGATGTTTTCTTCACTTTCCAGGCTCACTCGGCTGAATCTCGGTAAAAACCTATTGGACAAAATACCATCGGATTCTTTCCACCCTCTCGTTAATCTCGAAGTTCTGGACATCCATGAGAACCACATCGTGCACTTGCCTGACGCGGCTTTCCAAGGTGCCGGTCAATTTAGTTCATGAATTTATACTCTGGAGTTGAATTATTTGAGTTGCCAGCTCAGGCAAACAGACTATTTATCACTATAGTGCAGACCTACTAATTATTCAAGCAAGAATTTAAATTTAGTTGCAAATATACGCATTTCCTGATCAGTCATAATAGGCCCACAAATCATTCATGGATAATAAATGAGGAGTAGGGCCTGCGCCGTTATCATAGTTCCTACCATGTTATTAAATTCACATTATATTCTCTGAACAAAATTCCAACAAATTCCACTTACAGGTCTGACAAAGCTGGACATGTTGAAGCTTGAGCACAACCGCATCGAAATGATCCAAGACAACGTGTTCCACGACTTGTCCTTGCTCAACTCCCTCAACATCGAGCACAACAAAATCGTCAACATTAGCGACAATGCCTTCAATGGACTAGAAAGTGAGTATACATCCGCATCTATGACACTTGCACTTGTAGTCATTTTAGTAACAAAGTTCGAGAAGTCAAACAAAACATTATAAATTGCTGTGTTGATAACAGCATCTTAAAAGGCGGACAAATGTTACACATTCCACAGCAAGCAATAAGAAACGTAGCAGTTCTGGTTAGGAGACAGCTACTTAATATTTAAACGTGACTAGAAGAGAATTTTCTAACTCGATTTTGCAGTTTCAAATTACAAATTTATGTTTCCAGTTCTGGTTAGGAGACAGCTACTTGATATTTAAACGTGACTAGAAGAGAATTTTATCACTCGATTTTGCAGTTTAAAATTACAAATTTATGTTTTCAAATAATTCTCTTACATTCCATCATTGCCGTAAGCCCGGAGCAAAATAAATGTATAAATAATCAACTTTTAGGGAGTATTTTAAATAACATTGTTTTCATCAACTGTTGTTATCATTGCAGCAAACCTGGGTTGGCTGGAGCTCGGCAACAATCGCCTCGATCACATCCCGAGCCACGCACTGCGCCCGCTCCACAGCCTCCGTCAACTCGACCTCGACTCGAACTCGATCCAGGAAATGCAGGAGGACGCGTTCCAAGGATACGGAGACACGCTCAAATACATCATACTCGAAAAGAACCAGTGAGTATTACGTACCAGTTCTTTTTTAACCCCTGAAAAATAAGGTGGCTTCTCTGCGTTCAAATTAATTGTAAATCGATACCCGACAAAATAAATTCTTTCTTCTCAGGCTTTTATAAAATAAATCGGTTGATGAACATTGCCTATTCATGTTGCCTAAAGTACCAAAATGTAAATCTTCTGATTTGTCACTGCCCAGTGTTTCCGTCTCACAATTCTTGAACTCTTTACGTCAGTAAGCCTAGACTATCTGCAAGATGCAGGTGTAATAGTTGCACGTGTTCCTCGCTTTGCAGCATCAAGACAATTCCTCGTCTAGCATTCACCGACCTACACTCGCTGGAATGGCTCAAGATCGCCCACAACGAGATTAAAACGATCCCCGAAGACACGATGCAACCTATCCTCGACACGCTCAGGATGCTCGATCTCTCAAGTAAGTCATCACCAGCAACCTTACGTTCGTTTCTCTGTCCAACTTCATGAGCAGTAATGTTTCATTCTTACTGCATATTTGTTTCCGCCTCTCAAAGTATTCGTCTATTTTTATCCCGATTTCTATTTGACACCACGCAGCATCAGTTTATACCTTCGTCTGTTCGTTTCCTATACATGTTTCATCATCCAAGGGTACCAGTATTTCATGAAACATAGTATTTTGTCATTCATCATGACACAACACGAAAAATGCTGTTATTCTTTAGATTCAATTACGCAGAAAACAAATATCAAAGCTATATAAACGGTACGACCTTCACTATGTGAAACCTGGAAAGTTCGTCCCATTCGTTCAGTATAATGTACAGGTGATGATTATCTCCCCGGAATATTGGAAGAATCATTTTAAATTCAGGAGCACAACTGATTCATTTGTGAAACTATGGATTCCATAGTTATATTTTAACGGATTTATAATTGATTTAGATCACGTGACTGGTAATTCGACGAAAACGGGAATTGGGCTTGTCACCTACCAACATGCGGAGTGTCAGTTGTCTCCTTGACAGATATACGCGGAATTCTGAAAATAGAGAACAGAAATTTAATATCTCTTATCACGGAAAAAATTACTATATTAATATGGTTACTTCTGAAAGTTATTAACCAAATGCGATATAACTCTTAACAACGCGTCACTGCTCTTACGAATTTGTAGCGTTTCATTTGAATATTATTCTATTAAATTAATAGCTTGATTTCTAGTCTTAAAATCTACATTTATACTGTCTATCTTTGTAATTTCTTATAAACAAAAATTTCGAATTCTTCTCATTCTAATGTCAGGTATTGGGAAGACGTGTTAATATTTGTAAAACATTTATTTTTTTTTTTACCTCTAATGTCTAATGCCATGAACAGCTCACGGGCCCAAGAAACATATTTTTTTGTCATTATTTTCCTATGATTCAAGATTCCCTCGAATTTCTACTCGTGAAATACCAATATCTTTATTTGATTGATGAAAACGTCCTGGAAATGGAAATTCCGGTGATCGTGTAATCTACGTAACAATTATTATTGTTATGTGTTAATGAAATCAAGCTTAAAAGCTCAACGGAGCCAAAAGAGCACATTTGAGAGTTCCAAAACGAAAATTTCGTATGTACTTAGGATTTTTCGTCGACACCTTTCATCTAAACTCATGTCGGGCGACCAAATTTTATACCTCATTTCCCTGATCCATTGTCATTGTCACGTTACTGCATCACAAAATCATAACTTGGTTATCACTTCTCATTCTGCGTTCAAATTTCTTCCTATCATTATTAGTTAATTTCGCAACTATGTGAAACTCATACATCGTAGCTTTGCTGTTTTCTGGTGCACCTAAAATTTATATCTATCCCTTTTCTAGATGTTCTCACCAGTAATACATTTAGTCTGATGATTCATGCCCTAGTTGATCTCCATTAACAGCCTTGCAAATAAGAAATGAGGTTGGTTCGTCAATAACTTGTCAACTAGGAAGAGTTGATCAACTGGGGTAGGACTTGTTTTAAAAATCTTAAATTATTATATATACTCTAAGTTTCCGTGTGCTGAATTTCCATTTGCTATTTCTCAATTGAATATTCTGTGATAAAAACGTTTACTAATTGAAAAGCCTTTTTCTCCCATGACCACATTACAGATTTGACAGATGTCCATGCAGAGGATTTGTCTTCCAGGTGTCATCTGTTGCTTGCCTGCTTGCATGCTAGACCTCCTGCTACGTGAAGCTCTAGGGCCCTTATGGCTTTGCTCCTCGGTAGCCTGCACTCGCAGACGCACATATAGAAATTGCATGGCTTTCAACTCATTCTTGCTGCATGTTTGCTTCTGCCACTTCCTTCCCTGTACTTCATAACTTATAATGCCATTCATAGCTTTTAGTCGCTATATCTCATCTCCCTTATGACAATTCACAAAATTGCTGGAAATCTTAGAGGGATTTTGAGAGCGTCAAATACATGAGATGCAGGACATTCACACACGCGGGCCTTCTTCCCTTCCCCATACCAAAGCGATAATTTCAAGAAAATCGCAAAATAAGAAACTTTGGGTTCTTGTGAAACGTTGGAACATCCCCTTTTTTCTCATTCTCTAACCCTGTAGATAACCCGCTGGTGTGCAGCTGCGATATTCTCTGGCTGAGACATTGGTTGCTGAATCCCCACCACGACAGCAACAACGTCGAAAGCATCGGCGAGCACATTTGCGTGACACCGGACCAGAAATTTCACGTCATTAAAACTCTAGAAGAGAAGGCGTTCAACTGTCCTCATCCGCGTACTGGCGGAAGCACGGTAAGTGGCTTCGGAATTTATTGACGATGGCACCCAGAATTTATAAAGAAAAATTTTGCACACGTTATGGAGGTAAACATGTTAATTTGCTAATTTATTCACCTAAGTTCACGGGCATAGCAGGATTCTTGTAAATACCCAAGGACTGCCACAGGAGTGTTTCATTTCGTTACACTCGATGGTAAGTGAAAGTCATTACTGCAACACATCCGTATGAATGTAACTGATCACTCAAGTCATAATGAATACAAGAGTTACGAATGATGTGACTGGAGAGACAAGTTTGAGACGACAACAACGACTGATAGTTTCAACAGGGTTGGATGATCGTATGATGATATGGAAAGTAACCGCATGGAACTGACACTTGCATAAAATATTCTTACGCAATTCCTCCACTTCGTTACACCGGGAACTTACTAATTCTTCCAGTAAACTTCACCAAACGTCTATTATGCTTGATTGAACATTCTTTGTTATTTCATATATATTGCCGTCGTCGATGAGGTGCTGTCCCATCACAATCAGTCGCTCGTGAGTTACGAGCAAAGCTTAACAATAAATCAGTTTGTAATCAGTTTCATGATTTATGATGATTCATGATTAAAAAATAATTAAACTATTTTTGAGGGAAGTTATGTTAAGGAGTTAATGAATGGTAAATTTCCAAAAATTCTGATCATTACGAAATAACCAAAAGCACAAGAAGCTTCTGACACTTTCATTTGGGAGATATATGGTATCAAGCGTCCGTCAAAGTCTTTACACGAGTTTATGTGAGGGATTCGTCAGAATCAGACGAACGTGGATGCTAAAATATTTGCATTTTGAAAATTGCACTATCCGTTACTACAAAATTGCACTATCCGCGCGTATTATATATGCGTCACTTTAATTTTGCCGCTCGCTTCAAGAACGATTGCCTGCCCCACTCTGGCAGAAACTGGAGAGCTGATTGAGCCTATTTATTAAAGAATATAAAACAGGTCATTATAGAACAACCATGTTGGACAGACCAGAGCAAAAAAGCTCATCAATAATATTAACTTTTTGGATACTTGAACCATCTTACAAATAAAATTTTTCGCCAATGAGTCAGTCGTTACAGATGAACTCCAAAAATTAATAATCAAATATAGATTTCTGACGTTCCTGATGGATCGATGATAGCTGATTGGTGTTTGAATGACAGTCGGAAAGGTTCAAATATACTACAGTTGAGTAAAACTAATAATGTTGATCGTCGTCCAAGCCATAACTCGATTAATGTTTTCAGAAACGTACCGACTGACGAAATCATTTAATCAACACAGCCGTTGATAGTAATTTACAAAAGCGGTCGAAGAAAGTGAGGTAATTAAAGAGACTATCATAAACCCACAGACATCTCGTATTTGAACCTACAAAAATGACGTACCTGATGACAGTGCTAAATGGATGCATGAATGAGTGTCTGTATTAAAAAGTACAAACCTTCGGCATCACTGAGTGAGTGACAAAAATTTACGCGAGAAACGAATGCAAGACACACCCGAGTGAGTGGGGACGATAGTATGCCACACACCAGGCCCATGCTACAATGATAATCGCATTAATTAAACCCTGAGAACAGCAATATGCCGACCCTCCCTCTTCCCAAACCGCAACTTACGGGTCAATATTGGCTGAAAGCAGAACTTGCTTCGCTGTAGCCTCAGCACACAAATTAGATTTTCTAGATTTCATGGCATTTTCTTCTTAGATAAAAAATCGAATATTTTTTGTAGACCCTGGCAGCATTAGAACTGTAGGACGCTTCAGCATTTTCAGCTCAGAAAGAAGCCTTAGTTTTCCATGATCTATGCCGTTACAGTAATTGAATTCTCTAAGTTTCAATAAAATAAATTATGATCCATTGATAACTTTAGGACTTTATCTGCCCGCGAATAAGTCATTAATTGCCAGTCAGTGAGACTGAGCGGGCTGCTTGATCCACCGTCAAGTTCTTTGTATCGGTACCTTTAATATTCAGATCTAAGTTCAAAGCAAATACATATGTATAATTTACTTGCGGCCGATTCCTCGATGACCAATAAACCTGAAGCGAAAGCGTTCATAATGTTGGACGCATATCAATAACACGATTCTTTTCTAATGCATTTAGCGATTAGATGCTCATGTTTTGTTACAATCCGATGCGAATTATTTAATTTGTTTTCATTCCACTTCTTTCCTATCTCTGTTTCTTCCACTCGCTCTCAAACTTTCTCCTTCCCTAGAACTGTTTGTTTGGAGGCTTTGTTGTGTCCATAGTTTGTAGTGGCAAAGAACGTAGTATAGACAACGCCTGTTGCATTACCTGCTTTTCTTGTGACCACTACGGCTCAGTGACGCCGACACTCACCCATACCACCACCGTCCAGTGTATCAGATACGACACTTGGTCACAATATACAATAAACAAGCGATAGACCATGGGTGCACTCAGTACTGCAAAGCACAGCACTAAGGCGGGCACTTCGAGTCAATTAAATGTAGAGTTTGAAGTTATACTTACAATCTTGTGGAGCCCCACATGACCATTTTTTGAAGAGGAAATTGTTGTTGGTGTGGCTTCAATTTTGTTTTCTATATGCGTTTGTAACCATGTCATTTTGTACCCTAATCATCATATCCAAGGTGACTAAAACGAAATCGTCTGATCATTTTCATGAATTCCATAAGACTCCCGGACACAAGTATGAGCCACAGCACAGATTAAATTTAAACTGTTACCAATAAATTGTACATGCAGTTCCATTATGAATAGACAGGCAAACATCATTTGCTTGTTGATGATGGGCCTAACTTAACAGAAGCGTCCTGATCAATCCCTTAGTTTAGTTGTCTTAGCTTCTCCACGGCCTGCTAACATGCTCGATTGCAACACTGTGATGACCCTTTGCTTGCATATCAGTCATCCTTAGTAATCACATAGATGGGTCAAGAACTTAGAAGTGGCCACTGGGTCTTCTGAAGGCATCGTTTGGTCCCTTTTCGGCCCGCTATGTATTAATAAGGGTGCAGAGACAGAGCCTCCTTCTCTTGGCCAAGATTCTGTTCTGACCTCGTAGTTGTCCCTGTTTAGCGCACTCACTCGTAAGACTTCTGTCCGCGACCTGTTAGAAGGCATTTCTTGTGCACTGATCTCCCATTAGAACATCAATTCAAGCTTATCGTTGCATTTTAGTAACATATGAGTTTCTACCAGCTGCGAACAGGCTTTCTCATTAATCGATGAAAAAATCATATAGGAGGCATCCTAGCTTTTCACTATGATATCTTTCCTGTGAAAGTGCATTTTTTAGTGACATTTCCTTTTGAAATACCATAGTTAATTAAGCATTTTGTATTCAAAAATTAAAACTGACTTCTGTTAGACACCGTGTCTTATCAATAATGAATCTAATCTCTATTAATTTGCAAGGCTTTCTTCTGAGTCGTCAGTTTACATGGACATACATACTTAATAATTCTAGAACCTATAGCTTATAGCTCCCTGCCCTGCTTGTGCGGCTTCGCGGTTCTGTGTCTGGCCAAGCGTCCCGTTTGTGTTGGCGAATCAGAGATCCATGCTTCGGGTGTCTCATAACTTCATGAGTCCTGTGTTGCTTTCTGTCTGCTAACTTCTTCTACTGTCTCTACCGGGGCCCTTTGAATTTGATTCAGATTTTTTGTTGTAGCTTCCGGTGCTGTCACGTCCCACAGTTCAGTTCTGCCGAGTCTTTAAACTGCAATTCTTGTTTAGGACACAATGAAAAATTATTTTTTAAAATAGTAGTTATATCAATTTCCCATCACAAAGAATTGTTCGAACGCGAAATTAAGTTTTCAAGAAAACATCATAAAATGAAAAGAAGGATAGCGTTCGATGCGCGCTTAAACACCCTATGGATGGTGCTACGTAAAATATGAGATGTTTCACGAAGCCATAAAAATATTCAACCTTTTAAAATGTCCCTGGTGTGTGCGTGTGTATGTACGTCAGCCCATGAATCTTGCCACTGCCTCATCCCCCGCCCCTGTAGGCACACCCCACCCTCCCGTCCTTCGTTCCCTCTTATACTTCCGCTCTCACTCGCAGCGCTTCTAGTCTCGACTTAGTACGGTCCGCTTCTTGCGCCATCACTGATCAAAAATTGTCGAACATTTCCGTTTATACTGAAAAGCATTCACTCTTCAAGTCCATCATTTGATTGAAAAGCAACTAGAATTGCTCGTGCTACAAACGATCCGGGAGCGTAACGGTTGGACCGTATCAGAGAGACTGGGAGTCTGATGCCAAAACGACTTCTCAACGTGAATCCCAATGCGATATTCAAAAAATCTTCAAACGGCTATAAAATCTTTCTTGAGAAGATTTCAAAGGTTTAAACCTCAAGACAATATGCTCCAAAATTATGTCCATCCTAGATTTCGTCACAAAATTCAATCACGGTTTTGACGAAGTCGTTGTGGTGTCGTGCATAAAAGTAGTTGGTAGTGAGGGCCATGATGGATGACACCAGTCTCTGGTGGCCGCCTTGCTCTGCTCCTACAGCGCTGTGAATCTTGTAACGCCAGCAGCACCAGTGATGATAGTAGCTTGGGTGAGGAGAGCCAGCCCTCTCCTTGGCCTGCAAATGAACCCAATGAGGTGGAGATAAAGAACCCTCCTCAGGTACATAATATTTCCTGTGTGTCAAACTTACCACAGCATAGGTTAGGTTTACGGTTGCCGAAGGCTAAATTACAGTCATGGTCTCCCTAAAACTCGAGTTATTTCTGACATTTATGAGAATTCAGTGCATGACGTAATCCGATGTCCAGTGTTACAACTGTTACTATTTATCAATCAATTGTCAATCTTTACGAGCGTTTATGCATTGTTGACATGCTTTTTAGACAAACACCAACGTTCTCATGACTCTTTACAGCAGAAGACTTCAGGTGCCCCAGCCCTAACGACCATGACCCTGGTGGTTCTCTGCTCTCTGCTAGCTTCGACCTTGGCTTCCTAACTACATCGTCAATCATCAAATCAAATATCTGAGAACCTTGGCGTCAAGCTATCGACGGGAAAACTTCTGTCACGGAATCGAGATCAGGAGTGGAAGCGTGATTAAGCCTGACAATGCATGGGCGATTTGACAAGAACAATCATCCATCATCTTCAAGTCGGGACATCGATCGTGTTTCTTTCAAACACGCAGTATGGAATCGCTTCTTGCTCCAAAAGTGATAACTGGAAAACTATGCACGAATTTCCGGCTAAGTTTAACATGTTTTTTTTCTGGAAAATTTTCAGAAGTCAACAGTAGCATGATCTTTGAAATTTCGATTACAGTTTTACCCACATTATTAGTCACAAGTATTCACATTCATGTATTTTGAATTCAAAGAGCTGCCACATGCAACTCCTACATCAGTTCGCTAAGAATTTTTTTTACTCGATTTTTTGAGTCGACTCTGATTATTGTTGAGCTAGATAGAATTTCCACCGTAAATTTGACGTCGTAGTTTCAATGGAGTCCTAATCAAAAGACGCGTATTAAAGTTATACATGTACCGTATCATCTTAGTATGGATCGCTCCAGCAAACCATCATTCTCTTTACCAAATTTCTTATCACCGACTGACTTATATAGTCTCCCTTATGTCATAATGGATGGTAAAAAATCATAATAGAAAAACCTAAATAAAAAAGTTAGCCAAACACGATTTCTCTGCAGAATGTGGTTTATTTTTATTGTTTGAACTTTTGAGACCTAATCACTGTCTATAGACTGCATGGTATGTGCACACACCCTGTTCGTGTAATGGCTGCGTGATAAAAAGCGAACGCTGTGGGGAAATTGTGCCGCAAAGCACACTCATCATCTGCTGTTAGACGCCTATACAAATATCATAGATATTTGAGGCAGTTACCGGTTGTTATTGAAGTATTCGTGTGTTTCTACGATTTTGCTCTACACGCAAGAATTAGTTCTTTTTAGCTTCAGCGACGTCATCTCTATTTTTGAATTGCATATATGAGGTATAACCATATAATCCTAATTCATCACAATGAAATATATAACAGTTGAAATTAGAATTCGGTCAATATTGTAAGTGTGAGCTCAATGATCAAACTGCTAATGGGGATGGCTAGAAACTTGGTATTTAAAATTCTTAAAGAAAGGTCATGAGGTTTTTCGAAGAAACACAAGTGTAGTCGCCACGTCATATAGGCACTGATAGAATTCTTAGACCATGACAGGAAAAATCGATCTCATGTCTTGCATAGCGTAGAGTTGGACCATATCGAGAATAGTCTCTTATAATATTTTACTCGTATTTTTGAATAATAAACACTCCTGCATGAAATGATACTTGTGATCTGTAAATTGTTTAGATCTTACATTAGATACGATATTTTAAACATTCTTGCAAGCTGCAACCGCATTTCACTGGAGCTGTTTATCAGACGGCTATTGATTCGGAAATTATTAAACCAGATAAATTCTCTTGAATAAAATGAAGAAGTATAATATTTTCAATGTCATTAAAAAAATGGGATGATATCTGAGAATAAAGTCATGATAAATATGGAGTACCTTGAAGCGAAAATTGAGTTCGCATTCGTAATAAAATTGAACAGAACGGTGTGGATATGTCTTGTTTGCTCACCCGAAGATGAGTCTTCTCATATCCTTCAAATTAAGCATAAGAGGACATAAGAGTCTTCAGTACTTGGACAAGCGGGTATCTCATGCCTGAATTTGCATATCAATATAAAATTGCTAATGATCGGGGATTTTCTTCATAACATCCGTAGGTCGTATTGAGGATAACACCCAATATCATTCACGCCCAGCATTACTGTGCTAAAATGAGCATTCACATTTGTTCTCTGTAACCTTCTATGAGATTTGCAGTCTTATCTTGATGTTCGTCGTGTTGTGCTGTGATCGGGCTAGTGTGAGTGTTGATGCTTCAGCCGAGTTCATTTGATGAAGTATTTTTGTGAATACATTCCTTCTTTATTCGTGGATATCGAGATTTTGGACAGGAATGTTCAATAATAAATGAATTATTCTTCTGTGTGTGTATTCTATCTAGTCTGCAAAATATTTTCCATTGTGCCATAGAATTATAATTTTTGCTTGTTGGATAGATTAGTGGCGAGTCACCACCCCACACCCAATTAAAAGTCATCTTTTTTTTTCCTTTCGCGTCGGCTATTGAGAGAAAGTTTCAGCTAGGATTTTTATAACCCTTAGTAAATAGATTATTAAACTTCCTTTTCAAAAACATATCCGCAATCTTTCTGTAGACATTTTTGCAATTTCATCTTTCATGCATTCCGGAGAATTCCCTGCATTCGTGAATCCTTCTATAGTCTATAGCTATAACATGGTCTAAATGCTGTATATTCTTGCTACAACATCCAAGCTTTCTTATGAGACTCTTTATTGATAACTTATCATTATTGTTGTTAAAAAGAAACTAAGTTGAAATGTTATAGTATTTAAAACCGTGTTGGCATTAGTGGTGTTGTTTTGAAGACGCGTGTACATATTGCTTGCTCCTAGATAATATCAGTAATGCTTAAGTCCGCACACTACAGTTGCCGCATGACGAATATATAGCAAAATTGGACGTATACTAATTGTTGCGAGGTGATTCCGTCATATCCTTTAGGTATGCCTTACCTACCCTTCAGTTTATATATAAGCTCTTGATATACACATAAAAAGTAACCTCTTGAATTAATTTCTTCATAGACATAGACTAGCATAACAAGATCATTTCCTCGCAAGATCATTTCATTTAATGAATCTTGATTCATTTCATTTAATGAAATGAATTAAATTTCATTTCATTAAATGAAAATGATTTCATTAAAATGATCTCATATGCATTGCACCTGACCTACAGTTATGATACCCATGCACGCGGTTCTCCATGTGTGAATTGAAATTTTACTGAAAGGTTATTTAAAATACTTATTAACTATGCAATGACATTTCATCTGTGAAAGTTACTTCAAATAAATATTTAGTAATTTTAACTGATTTAACAATCAGTGTAGAAAACTATTTATATGATTATCTCGTCCAGTTCAACTTCAAACAGCCATTTTCTCATGTCCTCTCAGCTGAATTTCCATATAAATACTCATTGGACAACCGTTTGTCCTGGCGCCTGTCCGACTTCACTTTCCCTTGCAACTCTGAATTAAAATCAGTTTCAAAAGATGCGCTATAGCATAGTTCGGCCAAGTTGACCATGTTTACATCTTGTTCCGATCGATCCAACCAAACTTGTAGAATAGCCTTGAGTAACACAGTTTAATGATATTTTCAGTATGATTATTCCTAATTATGAAGTTTATGACATCCCAATTGAGAATGGTCGCATATCATTAGGATGTACTTCTTTGCTTTGCAACTGATCACATCTATAAGTAGCACTGAAGAATGAGATCCTCGAACTGCATTGCTTTGTCAGGCAGGCATTGGGGTATTATATAGTCACGATTGTACAGACAACACTGATATGTAAAACGTATCGCCATGAATATTGTGCATTTAATTAACCTTCCCTTAATTTTAGTTTCTTTCAAGGGACACCGCTTGACAAGGATTTAAAAAAGTGGCCTCTTCCAAAACACCGCGAAGGAGTAACTAAACTCAACGTAAAAAAATTAGAGAAGTATTGAGGCTATATTAACACGGAAAGAATATGTTTTATATACGAGTCCAGTGTTCAAGCACGTGATCCTATATATTGAATGAATATTTTTCATTTTAAATTTAAAGTTATTCATTCTGTTGATGATTTTTCGCTTGAAATTATGCAATCAAAGTTACGAACATTATCTTAGTGTAAGCCCTATATGAAGCATATATAGCGACTCTGCAATAGAAAAGTAAACATTTTAATCTGAAAGAACTATTTTTTAGAATTTATGTAGTACAAGTAATATCAGGTCAACCACAATGAAAAAGTGAAAAAGTACCCCCCATTGCAGCGATTCCTAATATATAAGCAAAGGCTGTGAAGACATCAATGTCAATACGCGTGCTGAGACCGCGGGTAAAAGCCGGGGGGAACCCCACATTTTACGTTCAGCAGCAATGAAATCTATTGTTTATCTGTAAAAGTTTGTGTCTTTGTTTGTTTTTTATTATTATAAATTTTTTGGCGGCCTGACACTTTTTGACCTAAATGTTACGAGGTCTGAAATTTGATGTGTATAAGTTGTGGAATAATAAGATATTTCAATAGGTTAGGGAGAGAGTGATATTATATTTCCAATGTAGTTTTGAATTTTGTCACATGTATTTCGTCAATCATATTCGAAAATTGAAAAATTAGTTTGCTACGAATATCCAACAAAGAGCAGAATGGTAGTTTCATGCTAAAGGTGGAATGGAACGGGTCTTCCTTCACTGAAGATTTTTCTTTCAAATTATCACAGGATTCTAGATGATGGGGTCTTGATGCCGGCAGTAGGGGCAGGATTGTAGTAGAGATGGCAGGATTTCCGAGGATTGTCTATCCCGAACAACGCCGGATAAGCCAGCTGGTACATGTAGATTCCGTTCACGCGTGAGGTACCATCGCAAGATTTATCGATGGCTCAGTTTCCTTTCAATTCAAAGTTGATTATTCAATTGGATTCAAATTTAACCTTTTTTACACAGTTATTTTATGTTTCACCTTCCCTACATGGATGTCTACTTTACTCTATCAATCTCAAAAATTATCCATAAAAGACTGATTTTTCATTTTTTATATGTATATGAGGATAATATGATAAAACATCCACAAATAAAAGACTGATTTTTTATATGTATATGTGGATAATTTTTGAGATCGGTAGATTAAAGTAGACATCCATGTAGGGAAGGTAAAACATAAAAATAACTAACTTTTATTTACTGTATCTAACCCGATAGTCCCGTACTATTTCGGTTAGGTTAATTGCAATAAAGTTGCTTTGATATGTTTTGAAAATGTTTTATTATCATTAAATGTTTATGAGTAAATCCCAATAGCAGAACAATAAATATTAAGAGATTTCCAATAATTTTGGCCATTGTAGCGGCTAATGTAGCGGCGCCACATTTTACTGAAGCGGTAGCGCCCGCTACAATCTAGTGGGTGTAGCGGTAGCGGTAGCGCCCGCTGCTTAGAGCATGTAGCGGTAGCGCCGCTACATTTCAAAGTAGCGCTGCCCAGCTCTGGCCGTGCGTCGAACCAACCCTACCCTCAGTCGAACGGCCACTCGTCGAAGTACGATAAATTTTGGAACAGAACTTTGCTATCTGAAACCTAACCTTAGATGCGGTGAACGTAAAATTGCCTAATTTAACGATGCCCGGAAGTCATATTCGATCCGCGGTCTAGTGGTGCGTGGCAGGTTTCATGCAAGGCCGGACAAAGCCGAGTGGTTCACGGCTGATTGGTGGACGGCGATCGATTCAGGGCTTATTGGTGCACAAAATTGGTGATGCACGGCTGCGCTCCCATGACGGGCGCCATGACTGTTGGAGTTCATGTGCAAAGTTGCTTCGAAATGTATTCTCTTGATTCGCAGATAACTTTTGTCTCTGCAAATTAGAGGACAGATTGCACTCACTACTGGAACCGGCCGCATTATTGTTCGACGATTCAATGTGTCAGTGGCCATTTCTAAGGTTTATAAAAAAGCGTCGTATGTGAATAAAAGATTGCATGAAATCTCTTATATGGTTTAAAATACTGTGAAGTTTTTTTTAAGTTTTATTCTCGGAATTTCAATAAAGAAAAACAAAGTTTCAAGGTAAGTAGAAATATTGTTCTTATCATTCATAGCTACGGCCTACAAGTATTTCCATAGAGTCTTCTACGGTTCTCATTACATGAACTTTTACTGGCTAGTTTTATGTCCGCCATGTTGAATTCTGGGTGTTCCTCAAATCTAACTTCTCTCCGATCGAACGAGCTCGTATGAATACGGTGCTATTCTCTAGGAATAAAATCTTATAGATTTCTGTCACAGCCTCACAGGTAATACATATAACATTAATAAATGTAGAATTGTTCATCTAATCAAGTATGAGACTAATTTTTTAAGAACTATGTCATGAAAAATACCGTCAAACGGGCGGGGTAAATCAGGATTCAGGACAGTCGTCACTGGTCCCGTCCCACATTTTGTAATAGTATTGTAGCAGCTAAACTAATGAAAATTATGAAATATTGCAACACTTAAACTAGTGGCGTAAATTTCAAGATTTTTACTAGCTGTGTAGCATAAAGCAAGTTAGAAATCATACATTTACTACCTCTATAAAATCTCAGAAAAAATGTGAAAAGTGGGATTTTTAAGAGTTTACTAGCCTACCTCTGCTCTTCTAAGGTCTGTAGCAGGATGGAATTCTAATTTCGGAGGTTCATATATTATTTCGATCCACCAAGACCACTTCTTCTATCCAACATCGTTATTTGAGGCAAAAAATGAACTTCTTAAA